CCTTCCTTCCTTCCTTCCTTCCTTCCTTCCTTCCTTCCTTCCTTCCTTCCTTCCTGTCCCTGGAGAATTATTTCACAGGTCTGTTAGGAAGCTGCTTTCTAAAAACATTAGCCAATCAGTGCTCAAAATATTAATGGAATAAAATATTCTTTCTATCCTCATTCCCTGAACCCTTTTCAGTGTCCTCTTTAGCAAATTTATTCAAAGCATCCCTGATAATCAGCTTGTCCGTCAGAAGCTCAATTGCATGACCAAGATTGTGGACAGTGACCTGTTCCGTCAGTCCGGTGAGTTAAGTCTCCCTCTTTCATTCTCATTTTCAATGTTCCAATGATGTACTGAACCAGCAAAATGATATTTAGGGAGCTCTATAAAACTCCTCAGAGATGCAAGCTCATGTCCTAATGGCATCTTCTACTATGGGTCATGGATAAGCCAGCCTCCTGGATTGACAATGCAGGCAGCTGGAGTGTGTGGACCTCCTGACTGACAATTGAAGGAGTCTTCCTTTGTCTGCTTCCCCTGCCTTCTAAATGGTTTAGAACAGTACCTTCTGGAAAACTACAGTTTCCTCCATCCCTGAATTATGGGCAAAATTTTGGTTCTGTTTTGGGGACTGTTTTAAAAACAGGGAAATCAATGTATGAGTTATTTCAAGCACAGTCGGATGTGTTGACTCCTTCCCATATTTCTTCATTCTGTGTCCCAGAATGCCGCGACATTCTTCTCCCCCTGCTGGTAGACCAGCTAAGTGGACAACTGGACGATAATTCCCACAAACCTGACCATGAAGCCTGTTCACAGCTGCTTAGTAATATTCTTGAGGTACTCGATCGGAAGGAGGTGGTAAGTATCTGTTGTTTCCTTCCAATGTTTCCTTGAGAGTAACATTGCCTGCAGCTCTTTAAAGTAGCTGCTTTGGGACTGAATATGAAGTGCGGATGGATGGATGGATGGATGGATGGATGGATGGATGGATGGATGGATGGATGGATGGATGGATCTTGACTTTGGGTGACTTACATAAATTCATTTACTGTTTGCAGTTTTCTTAGTAAAAATGGAGGTGGTTTGCTATTGTGCTCCTCCAGGATGTTCTGCTGACTTCCCACTCTAGTTTGGAGTCCTGGTCTTATCAAATGGTCTCCCATCAAAATATATGTAGTGTTGACATATCACTTTCCAAGGAAAAGCTAGGGCTATGCAATGAAGGGTATTTGATATTTTTAGTTTGCTGCTTCAGGAGGCAGTTAATATCAGGAGGGTAGCATAGATGTAAAGCATTTTTAAAACCCCTCTCTGCCCCTCCACCATTTTGACTGTAATTGCTTTTCCCCTTTTTTTAATTTGAAAATTTAAAAATAAATCAATTCAGAACGTGTGTGGCTTTGTCACGTAACAGATAGTTTGGATGCAATGTTTTGAGACAGGGATTTGAATGCCTGAAGTTTCTAGCCCTGGAAATTGTACAGAACTGAAAATTGCAGGCATGCACTGTCAAAAACTCAGTCGCAAGGGAAGCGTTAGACAAGATCGCAAACAGCTGGAATATTTTTACATGCAGTCATACAATTGCATATTTACTCTCACTGTGCAGCTCCCTAGAAATCCGTCCTTGACTAGTCAGGGCAAAGAAAAATCTGCAGAATACTTGGAAAGGCAAAAATAAATAAAATTAAGCACAGAGTAATCTGGTCTCAGTGTCAGCCCCATTTCTGATAAGCACAAATGTTTTATACGCTATCTTGGGAAACCTTTTTCCTTGAAGGGGATTGTCATCATGGAATAGGGAAGGATTTGTTTACCAGGCTGGGAAGGGCAAAGAAAGGGGCATACAGAGAATCTATCCCCTCCCCTCTCAGTCTAAATCCACAATATCGGGGGATGATTATCCTGCACCCCAAAGCCTTCACCAGCACTTCTTGCAACAAGGCTCCGTGCAGTGTTGTGGAAATCCCTGTGACCAGAACCCATCTAATGTGCTTTCCATTTCTTTGGTTCCCTCAGGGCCCAACTGCAGATCACATCCAGTTGATAATGGAGCGGCTGCTGAGGAGGATAAACCGAACTGTGATTGGGATGGGGAGACAGTCTCCTCACATTGTGAGAGAAATCGGCTTGACTCTGGTGCTCTTGGTTTATTGTCTTATGAGTTTTGGGGTCTTTGTCCCTTGCTTTGAGACTTCTGGGAGGAGCCCAGCCATAGACTCTTCAGATTAGCTGGCACATTGGAGAGGTGTCTTTCTAAGGCACCCATTTTTCGTGTGGATATTCTGCTCCTGCCACTGCAATAAAAGTGTCAGGATTTTTGAGCCTGGTACATAAATACTTTTAATAACCATGTTATCATGATAGAGCTGTCAATACAAGCCACAATTTGGCCATGTAGGAAATTGATTATTTTAATTCATGTATTGAATTTGCAGGCTTTCCCATTCCAGATTAGTCTGGGTGCCTTAGAAGATTAAAACAGCAATAAATATAAAATGATTCCAGCAACAAAAACAGTATTCATATAAGGTGCAAGCATCCAAATTCCTCACAGCTCTCAGAGCCTATGCCCTCTACCCATCCCTCCATCCCTTCATCCATCTATCCAAGACTTGCAGGAAAAGCCAGGTTTTTAAAGAGCACTTGAAGACAAGCAAAGTGGGAACTATATAATGGTGTAGGCTTTCAATGCTGCCCAACAAGGTGGGAACCATCTGGATGCAAATGCAATGATTGAAAATAAGCCAGAAATGATGTAGGAAAAATGAAGTTGTCTAGAAAGAAAAACAGAAAATTGTTGTAATTTTAAAGAAGAATATACTGATTTGTAGGAGCGGCTACTAGACCGTTGTAGCTGAATATTTTGTAACTGAATATTTTGTCTCCCACCCAAGCATATCTTCTTGAGGGCTTTGAACACTAACCTCTCAAGACTGATCATCTTATGTATAACTAAAGATCTCTGGTGGTCCACCTTGTCCAGCATCCTAAATCTCATAAGGGCCAACTAGATGTCTTTTAGGAAACCCACAAGGAAAATCTTACATATATCTGCTTCAACGTTCATGAAAAGCACAACTGACAAAGGGTCTTTATTTTTTCTCCATCTTGTTTCCAGGGTAGCTTTGTATCTTGCATGACAGCCATCTTAAGGCAGATGGATGACTCCCATTATAGCTACTACATCAGCACTTTCAAAACCAGGCAAGATCTTATTGTAAGTCTGATTGAAATTTGAAATGGGAGGATTTGAGGATTATTATTATTATTATTATTATTATTATTTTACTTTTGTCATATAGACAGTAGACAGGTATGTTTACGACATGAATCCCAAAGAGCAGGAGAAACTCTTGAGTCTGCCTTCTTAAGAATTTCAGATTCAGTTCCAAAACAAAGTCCTTTCTGGTTGCTTGCATTGTTTGAAACGTGATGAGCGATCCTTAATTCAATCTCAGAATCCAGAAAGAGTGGCTAGAAGGGGGGTCCTTCTCCAAGGTTGAGTTGAAATGCTCTCCGCTGCTCTTGGAGGTGGCAGGAAACTCTACTGGCGTGAAATCTGTTGTCCCCATTGCTTACCCTTTTTTTACTTCTGTTCCTTGACACTGAAGTTCCCTAACTTATCTCCAAGAAGATGGGAAGAAAGTCTAACAGATATTTAAATACCTTGAGGTCTGTTCTTGGATGGTTAACACCAGTATAGCTAAAGACAGTTTAGGCCTGTCTTGCTCATAGGTTGGGGATGAAATAAAGGCAATGTCAGGGGGCCACCAGAGAAAAATGTAGGAGCCATGATTCAATGGAAGTGGTGCACGCCAAGGGGACATACGTGCCATGATTAGGCGCAAGTCTTATAGTTGTAGAACAGTTGCAGTACTTCATACAGGTAAAAGATGATTGCTTTATGGTTGTGAACATGGTTTGCAAGGGTCTCAAACTGAATCACAGCATTTGAGTTAGGTAACTTTCGTTGTCTTCTGCCTGAGGCTCTGCTGAGTTACTCTAAGTCAAAATGATAGTATTGGAATAGATTTATGAATCTGATGTAAGCCAGCTTTCCTTCATTCCTTCAGAGGAGATACTTGGTGGCTTGCTGGCAGAACACCAACTTTACATGCAGGTTCAGTTCCTAGTGCCTCTGGTTGAAAGTGATGCGATTTCTTCCCTCAATCTATGCATATTATAATCATAGGCTCTTTCTTCCTTCCTCCTTATTCTGCTCCTTGGGGATATTATGAATCTGCATTTGGCTGGCTGAAGGCTTGAGTAACTAAGGTCAACTTTGTGACATGGAAGAATCTGTAAGCATTGGCCAGCACAGCAGTTTGTGGAGCCTGGCATTTGTTTAACTTGCTCCTACAGAAAAGGGAGATGTGGGGGAGTGATGTTCTGTGCCTTCCACTATGGAGTTCTGCCAAGACCTTTTGAAGACTCTATTTGGCATATTGGGAAGTTGGCAATGGTGAACCATTGGGGTGGGCTTTCAGAAATGAGAGTTGTGTGTGTGTGTGTGTGTGTAAGTAAACCCATTTGCAACAAATCCTCAGGCCTCTCAGATTGTATAAGCAATGTCTTTTGAGGTTTTCATTCCAAAATTTCCACACCCAGGGATTGAGTTACTCAAAAGCTTCTTTGGTGTGGATGATCTTAGTCAAGAGCAGGACAAGTTAACTTTGGAAGAGCTGCCAGGAGTGGGTTTATGCAGTCATTATGAAAGATGCCAGTGGTTTTGACCCTGCTGCTTGCTGTACATGTCAGCTCAGATGCCAGTTCCATTCTATAACATACAGTTTCTTACAAGCAGCCTTTCCTAACATCAGCAACTACTCATATCACCTCTCTGATTGGTAAATGACAGCAGTAATGCTTCAGCACAGAGAGAGGTTCCTAAACTGTGAAAAGCTTGAGATATCCATACATCAGGGGTAGGCAACATGATGGCAGTCTTTCTGCTCCCTCTTGTCTTTTTTCTTAAAAAAAAAAAAAAGACATTGAAAGCAAAACACTAGCCTTTGAGCATGATGTTGATTTCCAAGTATCCAAATAAGTATTTATTTGGTACCCATAGAAATTCTTAGACAATTAACATATTGATGGATCAACATAGTGCTTTATTAATAGAAGAGGATATGTGTAGCTCAGGGTTGAACGGTGGAGTCCTTGGTGTTCTCTGAGCTTGGTGGTTTTCTTGCAGATGTTTTGTTACCTGACTAGGTAACATCTTCCGTGCTAGAACAGTGAAGATGTTACCTAGTCGGGTAACAAAACATCTGCAAGAAAATAACCAAGCTCAGAGAACACCAAGGACTCCATAATGCTTTATTTTTAGTGTGTGTTTAAGTCTCCTCCTAGTAACAGTAATGAACCAGGATGGTAGAGAGCATCTTTGGGGTCTAGGAGATGGGACAAGCAGCAAGCTGATCAAGTTTGCCTTCTGACAAACAGTTGGGTATTGTCAGGCCTAGCCCAAGGAACTCCAGGAGACCATGCAGATTCAGTTCAGCAATGTTTATTAGCTACAACCGC